TCCGTTCTTGATAGTCAAGGATTGTTACTTGATCCTGACTCTTTGTGGAGCCTCCAGCTACCACGCCAATTCTTGTGCTACCCCTTACCGTGACATTACCAAAAGCCTAAAGGTACCGTACAGTCGGAGCTTTTGCTTGTAGAGTAGGAGTAACCTCTCTTTTCTTACACCGCACGCCTCTAACACGCTTTGAATTTACACAACCTGAGTAGTTGTAGCTATTCCGTTGCCTCTGTCCAATCAAAGCACAAGTTCAACAGTCAATTCAAGCCCGAAGCATGAGAATATTTACAAAACTGCTACACCACCAAGGTAAAATGGGTAACGCAAGAATTGGGAATGGCTAACTTCTGGTACCGTCATGGACTTACTGTACATCCTCAGCCCGGTCACAAATCACAACATTCTTGAGATCCCGCCCGCGCTCCGGCAAGATCTAAGGTTTTGGCTACCAATGGAAGTTTTTAAGAACCCCGAAGTGCGGCTACTTACAGCTACCTACCCACAGATACCCCTTCATACTCTCGTCTCATGCTGAACAATCGAATCCAAGTCAGCTCTATCCCCCACAACTAAGCAAAAGCTTATTTACAAAACTTCTGAATCCGTGAATATCGTATCTATACTTGTCCAGCTTACGAGTCTGCGAGATCTTAGCGTCGCTCCTAAAACGTCGTTAATGAGGATGTCTCCAACAGCTATTGTTTTATATGTTGTATCAGCCTTGTGAACTAAATTCATGCATTTCATGACCGAAGAGTTTGATACTGCTCTGTTTACCGTGATCGGCGGGGTATGGTTTCTAAAAGTAGTACCATGATCAACGATTTGAGATGTCGATGAAGAGATGAACAATCAAAGCTTCTAGCTTGACCTTTTCGCATAATGCATTACGCATAGAAAGAACTCTCTCAACAACCTCTCTTGCCTCTTGGTATATTGATGATAGGCTCTTGACAGGCAAATCCTTGTATCAGATCGTTGAAATGGACGGCACATGCATTATTAAAAACATCCCGGAGGCTGGTTTCCTGCGGCTTCATTGCTAGGACTGGGTATATACGTATGCGTCTTCGAATCGGATGGTTTCTTGTCGGAACAATTACAAAATAAATATCAACAAAACAACAGAGTGTTGGCAGGTGAAGGCGAGGTTGAATGTGGATACTGTGTGTATGACTGACGAAGGGGCCATCCATATTCTAAGTTTTTCGACTTCTTGTGAATGAGCTTTCCACGAATACGTTTGGTCACCGTGACAGTAGTCAGCGAAATATGCGGTGTTCTCAACACGATCCCATGAATATTTTCCAAAAGTCTGTTGGTAGCTACCCGACGTCACACAATCTAGGCCATGACGGGAATGTGCTTAGCAGGACCGTAGGGACGGGCCCCGTCAGAATAAACACACGAAGACATCAGAGCGAGAAAATCCTTGAATCGACCCTGGAGATGTGTATCTTGCTATTTCAATCACATCACTGTTCTCGCTAGTAGGAGGTGATGTGAAGCACAAAAGCGGGAAATCAAAGCAAGAGACGCATGTTAACAATCATGCATATCATTTCATCACGTTTTTGGTTTACGAGATGTCCTCGGAATCCGTAGCAAAATAATCAGACTGCGGGATGTGCAGTTGATGCACAGACTTTTCGCCAGATGAACCCAGTTTTAATTTCTAAACAATGTGGGAAACTTCCAGCTACCCAGGCGGACTTGGCCAGGTCAGTTGAGATGCTTGACAGGATAACAGTGACATGAATCAAAGATCTTTAGATTCTACATTGGTAGTTTTGTGATAGATAATAATGTGGTGACGATGTGGTGATTTGATGCTACCCGTGGGGGAATCTAATCTGATGAGGATTAGTTGCTTGGGGGCCGTCTCAACTCTTATAACTATTGTGTACCTTTCCAACCTAGGTAATAGTTCAAGTTTGAGATTATTTATAATCTCGTTCTCCCAAGGTTCTTCGTTCGACCTAAATATCTTCGAGCGAGTATCAAATATGTACCAAGCTAAGTCTCCACTCTCCTCCACTTTTGTGCTTCCATCAGCAAATCGAATCTTCTCAGGCTAGTCATGGTGGATCATGTTCAATGTATCAGCTTTCTTGGAGTGAGCAAATAACTATTCACTCATCTTGCTAGCTTATGTTGTATAGGTAGGTACTTGGGAATACCTTGATGCAGGCAAGACTAAGTGTTTCTGGAATAATAATAGAAGATGTCAAAATAATTCCATCTAGATGCAACCTTGTTTGAATGTCGAGATTGACGAAAAAATGTTAATTATGTGTCCACCTCGTTTTTATATCCTCCTATCCACCATCGAGCCATATCGTTGGAGAAACAAGGGGATGTAGCCTGCTGGCTTTTCAATTCAAACCATCTCATGGTGATTGCAAGCATCGACCTCGAGTACTCTTCGTATTTGAACCAAACTTGGATACCCTCACTCGCCTCGATATTAAAACATCATTTCCTTTGGGACCTGGAAAATTAGCAACGACCGGCATGGCATGGAATACATGAATTTGAACCCAGTCATCTTGAAACTCTCTTTTCTCTGTTTCGCTGAACAGACCTACCGTAACCCCTACCAAAATCACAAAAAGTCTACTAGGTAGTCCAACCCGAGCAACCTTACCCGCACACCCGCCAATGTTCGAAAATTTTGACAGACTTCTAGCTTTTCTAGCCCGCTGTTCTGTGATTCATCTGGGCTTATGATTGCTAGGCGTAAGTATTCTTTCCCGTTCAAAAATCTTTCATTTTCATGATTAGCACTGGCGTACCGTTGTTAGTAGCTGTAGTAGTCTTTTTAGTAGGTTTCTTATCACGTAGTTTCCTCTTAGCACAAGGGGTAATGCTCCAGTTTTCACCCATCATCAAAACTCAACGGCAGGCCCTAGTTCATCAGAATTATGAAATGAACAATAATGCATTGATTTCCTTTGCGATTACACACCGAGACACCCCAACTTTCCAGTGTACACAAAACACCGTACATTCGCTTCTATCCGGAACTTTCCTACATACCAAACATGTCAAAACAACCTTCGCTTGACTAAGCTCTCTATGGATTTTGTAGCAGATTTTGCTCAGCCTTCTTGTGGAAACATACGCATAAAACTTCATGGTTTGACGATGATCTCAAAAGTACCGAGAAGATTGATTTATCCATCCTCTTGCAGTATCCCGTTCTTGTCAACTACCTATTTAGAATAGTACGGAGGTTAAAACGACCTAGTCTTTGAGGCTATTCTTCTAATCTGTAGTTTGCGAACCTAAATATGCAAAATACGCATTGTCTAGGTGTTTCCTGTTTTGAATTTGACTTTTTCTTTTTCTTACACACTTCTTTGCGTTAATTGTTCATAAGCGGCAGGGTCGTCACGTTGTCAAAGTCACAACTCGCATAACGAGTCCGCCCCCCCCATGTCTTCATAGATCTTCATTGGGTGGTATCTATTAGCGACAACGGTTGCAAGTTGACCCACAGATTCAATGATCCCTTCAACCCTTTCATGCAAAATGAAGACCAATGATCCACGCAAAAAAGACCCAGCCTCGATCTCTCCGCTGGTTCCCTGTCATATCCGTTGTTCTCTCAAGCTCTCCCACAATAGGCTTAGCTGAGATCGATACAACTCACCACTTCTGCGGAGCCCTGCTGTTATTTTAACCAATTCCTGTTGGTCCTTTTAGAATTTTGAATGCTTCATCTGAGTATCGGATGATTGCGCCGGCACCAGATCCCTACACCCCAGTCACACATTCATCTTATCCAACGTTCTGCACAGTTCTCGATAGAGTGCTATCCAGAATTTCGCTGCAGCTTCATTTCCATTTGTCAATCCTCTTGAGAGCCACAGTGGGCTTCTTACACAAAATCATTTCATTGAATCGCTTCACTTTTTGTTGTTCTCAATCTTTTGTCCAAATTTGTGGCTGACTTTAAATGTCCTCGTGCATTAAAAACATTCCCCTCCAAACTTCCTTCTTTATCCACTCTAGCTTGTGCAACTGTCCTTAAAATCTCGTCCCAAGTCCGGTCCTCCCAAGCAAAATCCTAGACGCAACCGTGCAAGCCTTGTATCAAGTCGAGGTGGGTATTTTTGACACTACTCCGCTCCGCTTGCATACTAGACTCTTGTCATCGGTACAATTTACTTCAGCGGCATTCTGCTGCAACGACAGGGACTTCCTGTGAATTGTGAGAGCCAGGGGTAATAGGGCGCTTGTCGGGTCCAGTCTCCTTGTTGTGGTGATCATAACCAAGGAACTTATATATCAAAGGCCTTCAATCTTGGAGTATATTACCCGACGTCTGTCGATCGAACGTGGAAAGAAAGACAACGACCCCCCTTCAACTTCATTCCTGTTACTTCTTAATACGGACTTAGCACGTCATTAAAACAAGAAGCAATTTATATTTCATTTGGACGACGCAGGACACTCGCCACATCCGTTCATTGAGCCCAATCTATCCTTGAACCAGGTCGCTTCATCTTCTTTTCTACACGGCAGCGCTGTTGAAGACCAACTCGTCAAGTAGTAAAATCTCTGGAAGGTATACGCGTTCGGCTTGTCCAGAACATTTAAAACCTTTCATTTATATTCCCGGGACTGGTCCATACATCAATCAACCTTATTTAGCAGATCTTGATTAAGACCCTTAAGATTAATCTATCCACCGATCAATAGCTACAGGAACAAGCTTTATACGCTCTTCCGACTTCTCCAACATCATCATCCAGCAAGCAGGACTAGATCATAAACTAGACTCAACAATTACTTGCCTTCGATAGGCCTTATGTTCTTTTCTGGTCAGTGATCAGCCATTGTCTATAGCGGCCCTTACACTCGTTCATTCCACGGCTACTTACCACTGCGACAACACAACACACATATTCCTTTCTCGAATCAAGGGCTCTTGAAGAACCTAAAAAGCAACTTCCAGACCATCTTCAACGGTCAAATCACAGATACTCTCAATGCTTGTTACACGGCAATGCGAAACAGGACGGAACACTTGGTCCTCTAATAAACTTGGGTCTGCTAACTTCGCGTCTCCACGGATGGCGAACTTTGAGGCTATACCGCCGCAGCCGGACTGGCGAGAACAGTACTCTTCGTATCAACTCTCTGGAGAGAATGGCATGGTCCACCAAAATTACGAGCACTCTGCTGGCTCCAACACAAACACCAGTCAACAGCAACCAGCTACCAGACCAACTTTAGAACATCGACACACACTTGGCCCAATAAAACCGGAAGGTCCGCCAACTCCTACCATAGAACGACCAGACTCCGCTCCGGGAGATTGCGGCCAATCTTCTGTCAACAGAACTCGAGATGAATCTATGGTTTCGACAGAATCAGCACCTCTTTCACTTGGGCCGATCGCACCGAATTCAACATCATCTGCTTCAAGCGCACCACAACAAGGAGCAGGAGTACTCATGAATGAAGACGCGTCAGCTCTCTTGAGTCCCAAGGAAGAAGACGATGACGATATCGATGATGACGACGATATGTTAGATACTGAAGATGGAACTTCATCAACGCCGCAGACGGCGGCTGAACGCAGAGCTGAACGTAGGAAGATGAAGCGATTTCGGTATGTTTATTTTGGTTTACATATGTGTTGTAACATGAAGAACTAACTAGTACAGTCTCACTCATCAACAAACTCGATTTCTTATGAGTGAATTCGCGAAGCAAGCTCACCCAGATGCTGCTCATCGCGAGCGTTTGTCACGAGAAATTCCAGGCCTTAGTCCAAGACAAGTGCAGGTATGGTTTCAGAACCGGTATGCAAAATTCAATCCAGTCCAAGTGGAGAATATAGACTAACGGAAGCAGACGTGCAAAGATCAAGAGACTTACTGCGGATGACCGAGAGCGAATGATGAAGATGAGAGCCGTACCAGATGATTTCGACAACGTACAGGCTTTACATTCTCCTTACGGAGCTGTACACGGTATTGGAACACCAATGCAATCGCCTGTCGATTTTGTGCCAAATTACGCGGATCATATGATACGACCTTTGATGGTAGACACCATGCGCAGACATGAACAAGAAGACCACATGTCGCCGGGGGGCATGAGCCCTGGATATGGACATGTTGGATATACTCCGGGAAGTTCCATTGGAACACCTGATGTCCTCTCACCATTGTCCATTAATTCGTCTGATCGATACTTCTCCAGCCATCTTTCGAGTCCGATGAGCTCAGGGCCAAGGAGCTCAAATCCATTTGATCGACCACCTCCGGGTTATCAAGCTGTTTCCCATTCCCAGCAAAGACATCACGGCGGCCGACCATTACAACCATTACAGCTTCGAGAGACAATGTCAAGATCTCGATCAGAGTCACTTCAGTCGCCATTGAGATCCAGTATGTCTTGGAAAGGTGAAACTTTAGATTATGCCAATTATCCGACTGGGCAACCAAGTCCTCAATCATCTGGACGTCAACAATCAATGTACCAGCCCGAGCAGAATAACGCGGTCAATGCGCACCAATTTGAGTCAAACTCTTACCAAAGTTCGTTCCATCCTTGCGATGAAAAACTAGATGAAAGACTAACCATTTTGATAGGCTCCAACATTCAAAACTCACCACAAAACATGAGCTATTCACCATCGCATCCTCCATCATCTTTGCAACAATCATCACCAGCTGCCATGTCCCGTTTGCGAGCTTCCACCGGGGGTGCTTTCCCCCATGGTCTTGACCTACGCAACCAATACCGACCTCTCCCCCACCAAGGTCCATCACATCTGCCTCCTACTTCCCGCTCATTCGCGCCCTCATACTCAGCAGGTTTTGCCAGCGCACCTTTAACGGCGCCAATGGAATTCTCCCTCCCTCGGACACCAAGCGACGCAACCCATCCACAATTAAGTGCGCCAATGGCACCGCCGCAAGATTTCGCAAACGCGTACAACGCATCAAGAGCTCCACAAAGTGAGCGAGAATTCAGCTCCCAAGGTCAAGAACAGCAGCATGCTCAAAGCCATGCACAGCCTGAACATCAACCACAAAGAAATAACAGCGACGGTTCATCGTATCTTCGACCCAACGAATTCCAAGCAAAAGATAACCGCAAAAGAAGCTTTACTATGCCTGGATCTTATGCCCCTTCTCATATGTCTTGAAGAAATTTGTCTGGCGCTCATTTTCAATCTTCGATATTTGTGTGCATGCAAAAGTTTTTGCTTTCAGAGATCACGATTCGTTTTACAGGCATTGCAATTTGAAAAAAGAGCAGAGCATAGAATTCATCCTTCTCTCACAAGACGATACAAAAGCACTTCACTCCGCCTTACCCATGACACCACCAAAATCCCTCAATCATCTCCAATTCCAACCTCAGACCAACCTTCAAATCCATTACAGCTTTCTTGCTATATACCCATGGATCTTTCAGATGTTCATGCACACATATATTTATATATACTTTCTATACATACTTCTTACACTTTTGAAGTTTCTCCCAACGCTGGGACGGACAGGAATCTGACATCATTTCTACCTTTCAACCTTCGACCTACAGCTTTTACCTTTACCCCTTCTTCATTGTATTTTCTAGGAGATACTATCCGGCATTGTTTTTATATCAAATTTTTTCTTCCACATTTTATCCATTCATCTGGCCATCTTTCTTCAGGAGTGTTTTCATAGGTTTAGGAATTTGGGATTGGGGATAAACTTCAAAGCAAAGTCTTTTTTCTTCTTCTTTTCTTTTTGAGATATTCGCTTCTTATCTGTGTATAAATGGTATGCAATTTTTTGGTTTGGAGCTTCTTAGGGGTTAGCTGGATCTTGCATTTGAACTTCTTGTTTATGTTTCTTGTTTTTTCTTCTTCTTATCTTTTTTTACCCATGGGGGTTGGTTTGATCTCAGGGATTTTCACTGAGTGAGGGAAAGAACTGAGAATTGATTGGGTTTGGTGCTTGGAGCTGGATAAAGGATCGAGAGGGGGTGGGCGGTTGGGAAGCTTTCGAGGGAAAGGAAAAGGATATGCCGAGGAGCGGGAGAATCACTTGTAGATATCTGAATCGTGGAGTGGCAATATCATTGTGTGGAAGTTGAACAACTTTGTCCTTTCTTGTCTGCTGTGATATGTGATGTGTGATCTGCAATCTGATGTGATACAATGTGACTTGATCCGAAGACTTTACTCTGAAAGCCTATTGAGGCATGCTACATATAATATATAATATGCAATTTCCAGCCCATTTCCCGACTCTACGCATGAAATTTCCAAGCTAATTGCTAGGCCCTACAAGTATGAGCTACAGGCCCCAAGCCCTGAAGTAGATATGCAACAAAAGAATCAACATAGAACATACTGAACGGGGATTGGCTGAGATACTAAAAAATTGAGTGAATGCTCAGAATGAAAGTGAGTCTCAACGGAAGGTCAACTGTACATCTTCGCACACCTTCAGGCCTCAATGGGCCTACAACAGGCATGAGTTACAGAAAGATTTATACGCCTTTGGCGCCGAACAGATATGTGACAAATGGACTACGGTAGATTGTCTGTCGGCTAAAGTTGGCTAGACAACTTTGTTCTTTGGGTGAATATGGCATTGGCACCGGGGGTGAATATAAGCGAAAATTCGATTTGAGAGCAAGAGTTTCATATTTAGATGGAACGAATATGAGAAATCAGCTGGCACGTTATGATACATCTTGCGTCCATTTGTATTGGAAATTTCACTATCATTATTCAATACTGCAAAGAGCTTTGCCAAGTACATTACGTGGTGCGTAAAGCAGAGTCCTGATGTGGGTTTGGTGAAGAGGCACGAAATACCATCAATTAACTTCACTATCTTCTGTGAAATAGTGAAGAGAAGAATCAATATACCCAGAATCTTAGTCACTTGATCAGAACGCTCCAAATCCATGGTACGTGGACTTATACCTAGTCGTTGACATTATTTCTCATTTAATAATCATAAAACCTATCATCAGAATATCAGTACACTATCCATTCACGAAACGTAGATGAAAAAGAAAAACTCACCCCTTTCCACTTTTCTTTCCCAGCCATCCCGCATCTACCATTTTGCCCAGTAGTACACTAGGTCTATACTTGCTGTCTCCTGTCTCCTCATGTAATACTTTCATAATTGCTAAGCAGGTATCAATACCAATGAAGTCCGCCAATTGCAATGGTCCCATAGGAACATTGGTTCCATTCTTCATTATCGCATCGATATCATCTCTTTTACCAACACCAGTCTCCAAGCAAATTATGGCTTCATTGATATAAGGCATCAAAATCCTGTTTGCCAAAAATCCTGGGGAATCTGCTGAAGTAGATGGGATTTTGCCCATTCGTTTGCAGAATTCAATGGCTGCATCCAATGTATCTTGGCTTGTCTGTAATCCAGTGATAATCTCTACACCCTTTTGAATAGGGACTGGATTCATGAAATGTGTTGAAACTACTCGAGAGGAAGCGCTGGTGTCTTTGGGATCTTTAGTCGTTGATGCGGCAATCCGTGTAATGGATATGGAAGATGTGTTTGTAGCCAAGATGGCATGGGGAGGGCATATTTGAGCTAGAGAGCTGAAGATTGAGAATTTCAAAGAGGGAATTTCAGGCACAGCTTCAATTACAAAGTCTGCCGAGGAAAGATCATCCATCTTTGTGGTTGGGGTGAGTAGGGAGCGGATACTGTTAGATTGTTCTTGAGTTATGCGCTGTTTGGCTACATCTTTGGCCAGGAGTTTCTCTGAATTTCAAATAAGAGTCAGTTGGATACTCTTGAAACGAAGTTGTAAAGAAAAGTCTGCGAAGGAGGAAAGAGTAATTTAGAAAGCATACCAGCAAATGCGAGACCCTTGCCAAGAGAAGCTTGATTTGTATCGACGAGAGTGACTGGAACACCAGCTATTCGTGCTGCTACTAATGCTATCCCCAGTCCCTATTCCTCATGAGAAATTGTTCATCAAAAAGTACAACGAAGGGTAATGTACCATTTGGCCGGCGCCGATAACACCAAGACTTTTGACCTCTTGCGCCGAAAGCATTCGGCTTGAACTGAATGATCTTGCATGTTTTGAACTCTGCAAAATTCCTCTTCTTACAATTGGAGATATCATGTTGGGCAACGATCTTAGAAACAACCTTAGAAAGAGAAAACAACCGAAAATCCTGGTGTTGTATTGACAAATGACAATAAAGCTGGAGAGTAGAGAGAGAAGGTTATCATCGGTTGTTTCCCCAGGATTTATTAAGGTTACCGAGGCGGGCCGGTAAAGTTCCGATGTTGCATGTGGCTTTGACAAGGGTACGCGTCGCGATCGCGAATTTTGGTAGGAGCGTGTACAGTGGTTTTTGGGTTGGATTGATCAAAGTCAAAATATCATAGTAGATTGTTATGCTTAGATATTCATGATCACCACCCTTTACTACAACCAAATATGGAGTTCTCTGGTGGTAAAAGAGACGTTGTAGATCCTGAAGTTAGAGCTTATGTGAATAGTTTGGTTACAGCTGTAAGTTATCTTAATTATATTGTCTGAACAGATTCGAGAATTAAAACTGATTCTGACTATTGATAGCTGGGAGGAAGCGGCGCAGATGAAGAGGGACGGTATGTTCTAGGAGACGATGCATTGGCATGTTTACGAGATCTCAAAAAATGGTTAAAGCTCTATGACGAGAAAGCGAATCGATTAGACGTTGCAAGATGTCTCGCGGAATCCAATTTAGTGGGAGGGGATCTTCTACAAATCCTCGCAGCATGGCCCGAGAATGCTACGGACGATCGATTGAAGTCAAAGATAGCGCTGGCATGTATGGAATTGTTGGTGCCATTAACTTGGCCATTGGAGAAGAACAAGGAAATGACAGTCAATCACCACCGACATGTCCCGTATTTAGAGATTGCGCAAGTGGGATACAAGAGGTCAATACTTGGGTTCGATGGAGCAAGAATATTACATACTGCGGTCAGATGCGCACTGCCTGCCATGGCAGTGGATATTGGAGATCGAAGTACAAGGGATGAGGGTATTATCAAATTGATTTTATACTTTCTAAGGAATATCGCTATGATTGCACCTCCACCGAATGGACAATATGAAGGCGATGAAACGGAAATCTCACGATCTGCGACAATTGATGCTTTCGACTACCAAGACATATTTCATCTTCTTTTGATGGTGTCTTCGACAATGGGGGCAGAATTCAATACTCAGGATGTTGTGGTCATGGATGTTATCTTCCATTTAGTTAAAGGAGTGGATGTTGAGAAGTTATTCTTCAGCGAGAAGGCCATGGATAATAGCAAAACAGATGAACTGGTTAGATTACGGAAGAAAGAACAAGCAATGCTTCGAAGTTATCAAACAAATGCTCCCACGAGGCATAATCGATTCGGAACTATGGCCTGGATGCAGCGGGATGATGCCAAAATGACGACAATCTCTGGCCAGGCCGCACTAAGAACAGGAAGAGGAGGACTCGACAAAATGGATAGCACTAAGAAGTTTAAACCGCCTAGGAGAGCAGTCAAGGGAGAAAGTGGACCGTTAGCCTTCGACAATCCAGTTCCTCTCAATGCATCAGCGACGAAAAATTTACGGGCATTTGTTGAGGAATTCCTCGATTCTGGATTTAATCCCCTTTTCACACACCTCCGAAAAGCCATTGATAGAGAAGCTGAAAGAGTTCTTGAATATCATCAACGCCAATTCTTCTACTTGATTTCGTGGTTTCTTGAGGCGGAAAGAGTTAGGAGAAAGAACAAGAAGCCTTCCAAAAGTAAAGGTCCAGAAGACGTGGATAGTTTTGCCCTGGTTGCAAGTGTGCTCAATCAAGAAATGTTCATCACACTCAATAGGGCGATGGATCTCAATTTCGAGAATAAAAACTGGTATGACTTAAGTGCTGCCATGAAATGCTTCACACAAATTCTTCTCACCGTTCAAGAAATGGCAGATTCGCCTCTTGAGGCCGATCAGGAAATTGCGGAGAATATTCTGGCACGTATATTCTACGAAGATACAACTCACGAGCGAGTGGCTATGATAACCAGAACATATAAAGATCAAGGGTTTGGTTATCTGGATTCTTGTACAGAACTTACACATAATTATATGCGTATTCTGGAACAATACTCAAAGCAAAATGTTGATATGCAAGTAAGATCTAGGAGACGCACGCGGAGAAAGAAGAAGGCTGCGAAAGATGCAGGAGAAGACATAGGCGATGACAATATAGTTGATGAATCTGATGGTGAAGATGAGGCACGAGCACAGAAGGAATCCTCAGAGCGGAAGTTTGATTACAAACGTTTCGCTGCTAGATTTTTGTCTCAGGGATGTATCGATACATTTGTCTCTTTCACGAAGTATTATCTTGATCTAAAACCAGCGCAATTGAAGCGAGCCCATAGGTTCTTCTATCGGGTGGCCTTCAAACAGGACATGAGTGTTATGTTGTTTAGAGTGGATATTATTCATTTGTTTTATACTATGATCAAAGGTCCAGGAGGCTTAGATCCTCAATCCCCTTCTTACAAAGAATGGGAAGAAATGGTGAAGCAACTATTGAAGAAATGCACGAGAAAAATTCAAGAACGTCCGGAGCTTGTGGTGGAAATGCTCTTTTCTAAAACCAATAGCACTGCGCATTTCTTGGAGTATGGCTATGAAAAACAGACGATATCTACAAAACCTAAAGCAGCAGCTGAGTTAGAAGTCAAGGGTGGATTAGAGTGGGAGGATCAAATCGGTGTTGCTGTTGGCGCTTTACTTGATAGAAATGAAGCTGACCATATCGAATGGGTAAAGTCACAATTATCATCTGCAGAAGATGAAAGGAGAAGTTGGGAGGCGGCCAATCAGGCTTTGCAATCCGTTGAGAAAGATCCACTTGTTGAGATTGTTGAGAATGAAGAGACACCTGCCACAGAGGTCGAACCTCCAAAGGCGCCTTCCATCCGTATGTACGATAATACCATTCACTTGTCTACATCACTAACACGTTTAAAGTTATTGAACCAGACAGCGACAATCGAAAAACGGCCATGTTCAAGAATGGCTATTTGCGCCTCTTGGTAAAGCTTGTCGGTCTCAGAAGTATTGGGGCTGCCGACGACCCCGATGCCTCCTGGTATTTCCCCTCGGAAAAGTCGGCAGATCAGATCAAAGAAGCCCTAGATTTAATCAAGAAATTCGAGTTTGCCCCGCCAACCTTCGACGACGGTAAAGGAGCGCTTGATCAAATAAGAAGAGTATCTGCTGGGATAAACAGAAAACGCTCTGCATTCGATGATGATTCAGATGACGGCATTGATAACGATGAAGAAGAAGAGGAACTACTTTTCGAACCCGGTGGACACACAGCAATGAAAAAATCGGATGCTTTGAAAGCTCTAAAGAAAAGTCGAAGAAGACGCAGAAAGGATGGAAGTGAAGAGCCCGAAAGTCGTGGGCTAACAGACGAGCAACTTGAAGCTCGCGCAGCAGCTAGAAGAGCGAGAGAGTTAGAGAAAAACCGCAAAATTAAGAGTGAACTATACGTTCATGATAGTGACGATGATGAAGAAAATGATCGAATCTTCTTTGAAGCAGAGGAGAGACTCAGGCAGCAGAATAAGATAACTATCATGAAGGAGTTGCTGGGGGTCGGTCAGCAAAGGGAAAATGGGAAGAAGAGGATGGCAGGTGCGTTGGATGGGGAAGATGGAGATAGTGATGAAGACATGCCTATGACATCGAATAAAAAGAGAGCAAGCAGTGCGATTTCGCTGGATAGTGATGAAGAGGTTGGTGTAGGTGCAGATGATCCAGAATCCGAAGAGGAAGAAGCAGAGAATACGGACACACCGATTTCGAGTCCACATAGATCAGCACAGCCGAAGAGGCGTAAAGTGTTGAGCGATGATGAGAACGATGAGCATTTGGCGAAAGATGCGATGGAGATAGATGAGGATGAAGAAAATATTGTACCAGTGGCAAATCTAAGGAGGTCGAGGGTTAGAGCGGGCTTTATTATGGATAGTAGTGACGATGAATGATAGGGTTTAGCTGTATGATTGTTTTGCGTGGATAACTGATACCATGGCGTTGGAAATTTGGGTACAGCATTGGGAATCATGATTTGAGAGTAGATACTTCAGGGTTATGAATTACTGCAATGAATGGCCATCTTCAGAATGGCGTGTCTGATGAGTGCAAGGAATGTGTACCTGAGTATCGTTCTTACTTTTGTAGTCGGAGATGTGCCCAAATGATATTAGAATCTCTATTTGATTGAGCAAGTGCTCAATTATTATTGCTTGTTCGCTTGACCATGTGCAAAAGTTACGCAATCTTCGATTTACCGATTTATCTAATGTCAGTATAAATTGAAGTGAGAGGACCGGGATAGTAAATTCCCGGAACATTCAACTCAACTTCTCTTAACTGTCTAGCATAGATAAGCTGTTAAAGAAGTCGCGTTAGCATACATGAATTTAGTGCCACGATTTTGGTGCTGAAGACTAAAGCTACCTACCTAGTTAGAGGTTGGAGTGTCTTCCGTTTCTTCCTCAAGCACATAGCCGTCAATGTTGGTTGAATTCTGAATGTGCATACAGATCAACCAATATTTTATCTTTGATGCCTACAAAGGACTCGAGATAGAGTCTCAACGTTTCATATGAAGTCAAACTTCGAACAGTACAAATATATGCCCGTTCAGAGTCTCGAAATAAATTAGAATACTCGGGAAAAAACGTCATCTCAATGAATAGGCTAATATTCGAATTGATCAGGATCTTCGACCAACGATGTGAAAATGACATTGAAGATTTGGCTCTCGTGACCCCAAGTACAGAATTCGATATTGGTCGAATTCCAGTCATGAAGTTCTTGGTTTCACGTGGGGTAGATTTGAATCAGATGGGAGAGTCAAGATATATGGGACCTGGTTATCCAATTGTGTATGCAGTTATGGCAGGAGCAGTGGAGAGAGTTCGTTGGCTTCTTGATCGTGGCGCGAATCCAGAGTTGAGGGATTCGTATGGGAATGCGGTAAGTTATGTGGAGGTGATGGGAAGTGAGGAGATGAGAAATGTTGTAGCGGAGGGTGTGAGGGCAGGAAAGTAGTTGAAGGATGAAAAAGAGGTGGGCTCTTCTAGATGATCATGGATAGATTAGTGGCGATCGATCGAAGAGTAGTTGCTCATGTATACCGATCACGATTAGGGGGAGGTTCACACACGTGTTTAGTTGAGAACGAAATGCTGTGAATGTGAAATGTTGATTCTTCTTCTCCATGACAACGACGTTGATCAAATGGTAGAAGGATCTCCTTACTTTTGAGTCAGGATTTCTAATAGTTCGGACTGTAGTTCATCAATCGAAAGCTTAGAGATATTCAAATTCTTTGAATTATTGAAATGATTACAAATGTCAAAGGAATTCTGAATGTTGATTTGATTTGATTTGAAAACAATATCCCATTTCTACCTAACAGACTTCAAGCACGTGAAAGTCATGCATCACACAATACCTAACGAGCTTATTCACAATTCGGTTGATGGCCAGTCAAGCCATATCTATTAGCACAATGTTTAAGAAAATACATTCTCAGCGTAATCTTCATACAAGGCACTCAGATGTCCTTCTACAGATACACTAACAGCACACATTTTCAAGTGCTTCATCCCTCCAATCTGACTCCTCACATAACATCCCTCTTACCTTATCCTACGCATCACCTCCTGAATCTTCATAAAAGCCTCATCGTATTACGCCAAGTACGCCAATGACAATCAACAGCTTACCTTACCTTGCCTCGTGCTTCCTCCCATCATCGCATAAACTTCGAAATCCGTCACACGAAAAAATAATACTCACCTGTTGCTGTATATGATTCTGTCCATGCTATTGCGGTAAATCTTGAAACACGGTATTTTTTCTGCAGTCATAATAAGGCTCAGAATCTCTCGCGATGAGCCACTGCCGAGGAGGCGTAAACATGTTTTCACTACGAAAATAGTAATTGCGTAAGCTGAGTATCTTAGGGAATCCTCTTTGTGTAAGTTTGAGTCTTTTAAGCATACATTCATGCTGGGGAAGGAATGGAATGTGCGCAGTGCGTAAATCTCGTGTTGTGGATTTTACTCGATGTTGTTAACGTGATGGGCTGGCTTTTGTGTTACAGCTTAGAATATGGTGCTGATTTGAGTGAACGTTCCTGTAGGAGTATTTGATGAGAATATTTATGTGTCAAATGTAGCACAATGGGTAGGTTTCGGGTATATAAAGATTGTGTTCGCGAGATGTGAGGTTTATTGCTATAACAATTATTCGCTTCATTCCTGTTACTTCGATACAATATTCATCTGATCTCATAAATTTCTTCCTCCCTTTTCTATAAATTGTGATCATGCAGTTCAAAACATTCGTCCCTGTAGCATTTCTACTGTCTCTACAGCTCTCTTCTGTTCTAGCCGCCCCAGTAGCAGAAGCAGAGACAGTGGACGCCTCCTTCGAACTAGAAAAACGTATCGGTACCGACGCTGGAGACGGAACAAAAGCAAAACCATACATTTTCAACATCGATTGTGCTGGTGTCGAAGAAGTATGCGAGGCTCAATGTGCTGCGATTCTTTGCTTCAAATCGCCTTCATTGCTGTGAGCTTGCTTGCCATATGGCTATCGTTAAGATATAGGTTACTAACGGAAACTAGTCAATACGGAGGACCAGGATCTAACACGGCGCAGAGAACAGCAAGTGGTGCCGGCTCGGACCCTTTCAGACCTCCCCTAGCAACTTTGGTTGGGGGCTCAAAAATTGATTTGTCGGCGTTGAAGCAATCCGCTTGGACTAGTCCCGAAGATACCACCAATGCATCCGCCAAAGAGGGTGGAATAGGTTGTCTCATTGCACCTGTCGATCCAGGCCATAATACAAGTTAGTGTCTTTTCTTTCTGCTGCGGTAACATAACTAACATTTGTATCAGAGGAGGGGTCTCGAGTCGTAAGCCAATTCAATTTTCCATTATTGTACTATGAAGCTCTAGATGAAGCTCTGTTCTCTATTTCCAAAACATACCCCACTGCACTCGAAAACAATCTCCTCGTGTAGTCACTAACCCCCATTTAATAGTCCGGACAAATCAGTCACTACAAAGCCAAGAAAGACGAATATTTCAAGAAGAAGTACCACAACGCTGGGTAAGACAAGCCATCTAGTTTTTGCCTCGCCAACTAACACTTATTTGTAGTAAATACTGTAAAGCACTAGATGCCGGAAAGGCAGCAGATACAGTTTGCAAAAATGCACCTTCAACCGACCCAGTCAACTTTATGTATCGAAGAACATCCAAAAAGAGTGGAAACTCACTCCTCTGGCAACACCTCAAGTATGGAACTGATACATGGGCTGTCAACTTCCCCGGATATTCTTGAATGTTTGGATAAATATCATGATTTGATGGGTATTCAAATTACTATGCCTTGCATGTAATGTGAGAAGTTGAGCATTTGTGTTTCGGAAAGGGGTGGATTTGAGTTTTCTTTCATACTTGCGCTATTTGGGTAGGCCTTTTTGTGATTTTTGTTTAGGTCGCTTTATTGCATTGGTGGAATGGCGAGGAATATGGTATGCGGGCATATAGATTTATCAGAATAGAATGATGAACTCACATTCTTTCCAAATCTTTGCAAATCTTGGACCTTACTATTCGATGTTCTAGGCCTGTCGCAAGGTATTTGTTCTAGACCTTGGTCATGTGTTCGAGCCGTTCATCTTCATAGCAAATCGTCGTACAAGGCCTGTAGTTACCATCGAGCAGGCTTTGCACAACAGGTATATAAATATGATTCCTAATTATACTTCTCGCGGACGTGGTTTGCTCTAGGGGAACCGGGGTCTCATTCCGACCCGTACGGAAACATCAAGCAATTGAAAATGCTAGGGTAGGCAAACCTAAAATATACAATCTGACGCCTGAAGATTTTCTGTCGCGATTAAGGATTAAAGAAAGTGATCACGCGGTGACTTTCGAGACTTCTTAATTTATATTGAACAGTGACATCTCAAGGAATGAGATTCGCAGGGAGCTGCTTATACCAAAATTCGAACTGATGTCAGCCGTTTCAAGAAGTCCAATCATCAACCTTGCACAGCTGTAGTGAGAGCTTTTGCATTTGAACGATATTTGGCGCATCAACTAAGAGATCGTCTTCTTGAGTACGGGCAAATAGTTTGGAAAAGATTGAAAGTGTCAGCTCTAGAGATGAATGTCTTCTTTACCCTCAGACAACTAACCTACGAGTAGGGTGGTGGCAGAATCAATGCGACGAGACTAATCCTAGCGTATCAATATTCCGAAGTTTATGCGAAACGGACATTAACATGCAGCTAGTTGTCTGTTCATTTATATGCTACTAACAATATCCATATAGCCAGGGAGGCGTAAAACATCAGACAACGCCAATAGTTCCTCCACTGTGCCTCTTGATTGCTTGCGAAATCCCTTAGATCAACGTTCTCGGCTTACGGTACATAGATACCTCTTATGTCATAGCAATGCGCAACCACTTCAGTCTGCCTTGCAACTTCTCTTGGCCACACCTTAGCAATTGGCAGGTGAATCTTGCAAGAAAGACAACACGGCAGCGAGAACCACCAGCGATTGTCACTCATGCAATATATCGTCTAGAAGAAACCACATAGACTTAGCGACCTAGCCCTGCAAATTATGTATTGAGTATCGTTCGAGATTGAGCTCAAATCCAGAAGACTCCCTCCGCCCACGGTATCATGGCTGAATGTCAGCTGAAGCCGGAGGATCTTTTGAGACTATTGGAAGTTCTCAGCGTCATGTCTTAAATTTAGATGTCAAAGGTAAGATGCATCATCTCAGTCAGAGTGAATCCTGCGTGTGTTACGTAAGCACAGCCTCTGAGCCTCTGACGTTCTTTATTGTCCTGCCTCAATCCTCTATCAGCTTTACCTGGGTAATATCTATACAAAGTCCCCAAGTTTCTCCTATCCTCTATAACTAAGATTCAAAAGTAACCGTACCTGTCCTTAGAGACTAAATTTCTTGTGGCTTCAACGTGGCCCGCATTTCCAGTCAACAAATATCTTGAGGCCAGTCAGTCAGTGCACCCCGAATCCGAAGACATGGGTACTTTTCTGGTATTTTTCACGGCTCAAATTCCCAACGAGGTAAGTCACGCAGTTTGATGGATAATTGAACATGTATTAAATTTTCCTTCCCAGACAATTTCAGCATTCGTGACGCAATCTACCCGAGCCAAAAGCGCACCCGAGAGCCCATGGATCCTCCAAAAATCCCCAGATGAAGATGTCCATGGGCCTGAACTCACTCTTCCTCTACCAAGTCCATCATTTACTACTGGTTTTCAAGACGTATCTCCTGAGACCTTACAAAAGTTCATGGTTGAAAATGTCGTCGACCGTCACGACTTTCCCAACTTCGAGGGCGGAATCGAATGGTATCAATTTGTAGTTCTGGATTCCCAAAGTTTAGAGGACAAAAGTACTTGCTTGGTTTACCATTGCGTGAGAAGCATGCCGGAAGGCTCGGCAGAAGACGAATGGGATGAAAAGAAGCTCGTTAGTGAATGGAAGGTCTGGCGCGTCAAGTTTCTCGTGGCATGGTGGTTGATTAGTGGACTGTGTATGAATGACCAAGCTCTGTTCCAGGTATTCGAAGATGAGAAGGATACATATACCGACAAACATGGGGTGTTGCAGATGCCATATTTGGAGAATGATGAGTATGAGTATCCGGATTTGGAGGATCGTGTCCCATGGGGACCAGCTCCTTAGACAGAGAGTAGTTCGGTTGTACCTATCTAGTTCCAGTGAACATACCCTTCACTGAAAACACAAATATGAATCACAACATTGGCTAATGGTTATTCTCGCCTGCCGACCATCATGCGTGATATCAGTCCAGCAATGTTTCGCCGCATGGTAGTATGACCTTCATGGTTGTTCACAAACTAGTGATATCACAATAGTCAAATCACGCCATAGTTGGTTCTTGTCCTATGCATTCAAATGCCTCATCACCACGCCCAACTCCGAGCAAGAAGAGATTAGTACTGGGTGCTTCAATGACGTTTTGATAGACTGTTGCAAAAACATGACAATTTCAAATCGGATATCTCCATGGAATGCAACTCTCAGTAATTGTCCGAAGAGCATTGACTGTTTATTCAAGAGAGTTACATTTACTATACTAGTACACAATTACAGCCGCGGAGAATTTTGATACCTTCCTGTCGGTATTCTCTCTTCTTGTATGAGACAATAATGCAACTATAAATTCACGGCATCCTTTATCGACTATGTGTTAGCTGTGTGTATAGACGATTCATTTGAACAAACACTAATCCCCCTTATAGAGTCAGTTTCCTTAAAGCTACTCCACAAAACTAACCTGTCTCCAGACTGCCGGTATGTCCTAAGTGACCTCGACACTAGTTGGATAGCTCAAAACCCTCACTTGGGTCTTTGCATCTACCCCTCTTCCTTTTTTCTTGTATCGGAATTTGTCCGCGTTTGGTCTTCCCCGTAGAATTGTCGTGAGAATCGTAAATTCTGTTCATTCTGTCTTCTCATGTCCATTCGGCGACCTTGGTGGATATTGAGAACAAAAGAAATCTACATGAATATTATGTATCGCTTAATACGATATCAAATGGTCCGATTTTTGTCAACACTGCTTCGTCGTATTTCAAAGGGTCGGCACTAAAAGGCCTCGATTGTATGCAGACTTTGAATTGCAATGCATCTTCATCGACGGCCAGATGAGTTGGGACAAAAAAGAAATGGTAGAAGCAGAAGTCAAGGGTTCACGGATCGGAAAATCGAGAAAAACCCTCTCGATGCACGCTGATTCCTGATTTTTCTTGCAAGTAAAAAGAACTAGAGTGGTAAGAGGTTAGCGACAATGTCCTTTCGCGGTCTGACCACAAGCTTGGAGACGATCCGTCTGATTATCCGTAAGAATAGACGAAGTACAGAAAAAAGCAAAACTAAAGTAATCTTTCAATAGATCCTACGAAAGAAAACTGCTAAGCAGATAAGATAACGCTGGATGGTTAGGACGCCGTTGGCGCGAGGTTTAGGTGAAGTGGAGCTTGGGAAGCAGCTTTTCCAAGTGCTAGATGAGGAGACATGCAGAATCTGTTGTGGAAGAAGAAATGTATCTGCAGACTAGACAGATCTAGCTCGAGAAGTAGACGAGAAACGGTCAAGATCCTAGATGGTAGAGACATAATTGGGAATTTACCAATTGTGATGAAATTTTCGTCGATAATGCATGCGCTGTTTTTTTGCTTCTTTCCACCGGTGAAGGTGCAACTGCACGGGCCTCGTCTCGGGATCGTCAAGGGAAACCGAAACCGAGAAGTGGACGAGCCGTGGTGGGCTGGTGGGTTCTCACCGACGTCTATCACAATTCTGCTGTAATAAACAAGGCACTGTCAAAATTGAGATGCCGAGGACTAAGCTTTTCTAAAATTGTTTTACGAGTAATCTCCATCGTGCCATGACTGGTGCTCATTTTCAGCTGTCGTGTGTAAGTAATATCCACATCTTTGTGTCACTGGATCTTCGATTCGTTGTCAAGCTGCAACACATCTTGGTGTTTTACAAACCCCAACAGAAAGCGTTGGACGCGCGGTTGTGTTTTGGATATAAGATCATGTTGATCATATTTGACGAGTCCAGAATGTTAGGAATCTGGAAACTGGAGATCGAAGTAGAAAAGCTTGCGAAGACCCCTTTCATTTCCTTTCCTTTTTCGGCGTTAAATCAGTGGTCACATCGAGCCCTATGCAGCAACGATCCTTGAGGGTGGATTACACTCGGCACTTGACTCTTTAGTTGCTTTTTTCCTCACAGTGTACAACGTTGCGAGTCATCAACTCTCAGCGTCATCAATTCCTGAATCAGGAATCCTGATTCAACATTTGATGAGTTCTTCATCTTCAAGATTTCCGGTCTTAGGGTATGGGAATAACATTGTTGCCGGTACTACAGCTGGCAACGTTAGACGAATACGATCTCACGTTGACTATTTCAGCCGTTCAGGGCCATGCCCCATCCATACTTCTGAAGCTAATCCCCGCACTTTGGCAGTGCCCAATAACCTTATCCGGGGAATCTATCGATTCAACACCGTACCCGGTCTTCATTCGTCTGCTAATGCCCAATAGGAGAAGATAGGAGAAGATAGTCCGTGCGTTATACCCACTCTCCCAGGGACCTTTCCCTCATATTGAAAGGGATCTGACATCGTCCACATCCCGAGACTTTCATCAAATCACCTCCCTTAAACGCTCCCTAGACTGGCTGCATGCTCGAACTTTATAACAAGTAGTTGCCGTTCGTCAAAACAAAAGACAGACATCTGTGCAAATAGTCTAGAGGTCAATTGGAGATTCTGAATGATATTCTCAGTATGATTAGCCTAGTGGATAATTGGAGATCTGCCAATGCCATTGAGCGTTGATGAATAAAAGATTGAGGGTTCGTGACACAAACATGGGTCTCCCGCAGCAAAATCTAGTGGCTTGCAGTAGTTGAGAAGCATACATTATTGAAGTCTGTGTGGGAAAGATACTTTCCATCCCGTCCCCCCTACAGGTTTAGTATATCAAGGTGGAGTTGCCTTGCGTTAGGCACAGGTCTTTCCCTCGATACATTTTTGGAGCCGCAGTAGTGAGCTGTTAGCATTGTTACTTTCTTATTTGACCGTTTTCCCACGACTATATACTTAAACTAATGTACTTCCATCTCGCATTAATGTAGACCACATACTTTTGAAGATGCAGCTTCCCTCTCCTGAGATCCTCGCCTCTTGGCCAGTCCCGAATTATGATGACCCTATAACGCGAGGGTATGGTGTTTCAACCGTCACTGCAATATTATTGCCTCTAGTTCTATCCATAATATTCATCAGGCTCTACACTCGACTTGTAATGTCAAAGAGTTTCGGATTGGATGACTGGCTCATACTTGCAGCAGTTCTGCCATCGACAACATTTGCTTTCCTCGCCATTCTCGCAGAGAAAAAGTTTCACTTCAATCGACATATATGGGATGTTCCATTTAATCGGGTTACCTTTGGTCTACAATACCTTATAATCGTACAAATCGTTTTCACTCTTGGACAAACCCTCACAAAATGTTCCATGATGGCATTATATTACCGAATTCTATCAAGCGGGGGAAGGTTCAAGATGATGACTGTTGCGGCTTCCATTATTATCGCCGTTCAAGGCCTTGTATTCATTATCGTTACTATTTTCCAATGCCGGTTAGTGGACTCACATCTCGATGCCCGTCTTGGGTCACATGAATATCATTGACTTACTCAAAAACCAGACCACCCTCTCATTACTGGCTTATAACGTTTGCTCCTCAGCCAGAATGCATCAATGAAACTCTTCATGTCACGATTGCTGGAGTCATAAATACCGTGACTGACTGTATCGTCGTTTTATTCCCAATCCCGAGATTGTTACAATTGCAGATCTCTCATCGTCAACGGCTCATCATTATTTTTCTCTTCGGCGCCGGATTTCTCGTCTGTGTGGCTGGGGCTGTGAGAACATACTACACTTATTTAGAGTTGGTTTCATCGGATGTGACATGGGACACTTATTATGTTTGGATAAGTAGTACCGTTGAGCTTTATGTTGGCATAGTAAGTATCTCCAATTTGTCTTGACGTCACAGGATACACAGTGAACAGTTCTAACAGAATTTTAGATTGGAGCGTCCGTTCCTGCCACGAAACCTTTCTTCACACGTTACATACCTTTTATCCTTCCCCGCTCTTTACATTCCAGCCGAAATGAGCATTATGCCATCTCCTCAGCGGACAAGGGACCGTTCTCAGGATCCACAACAGTCGCTACTCCAAGAGCCTCGCGTATCTCACGCAAACTCTCACGTGACGATCTTGAACTAGGTGATGTTCGAGAGCGAGAACTCAGATCAACAAGACGCTCAAGGAATCTGGATGCAATTGAAGAGATTGGAAGTGATGCCAGCATTTCGAGTTTTATGAGAATGGCTGAGGGGGAAGGGAGAAGGAGTAGTGATGAATTTAAAAGCGACGAAAACGAGATAGGAAAGAGAGATAGTGATACGAGACCAAGAAGTGAGGACACCTTTCGCTACACGACGAATTCGAAAGATGAATCGATCGATGAAGGAGATTTGGGTATGGCGGCTCATTACAAGCCGCGATATTCCGTGTGAGGAATGGCGGACTTGGTAAAATAGGAACGGAGTTTTTGAAAAGTTATGTCTATCTAAGGAGTCAAAGGGGCGTCAAGCGAACGGTTGGTTGATGAAAATACCCATCTCTCTGAGAGATTGAGCAATGAGATTCGATTTTTGCAATAATATCTGTATATAGTATAGTTTTGTGCTAGGAACAATACTCTACAATGTAATTTTTTATATAAAAAAAACATCCGGAGATACTCTTTGATTTCCACTTTTCCAAGTCGCCGACCTTCATATAAACTAACATGTGTTTCTAACTACTTTTAACTCTGCTATAGCTGTATTCTGCGCCACGGACTTCCCCTGACTATTCCGAACGCCTCATACTAGTTTCTGCTACTACCAAACTGCCGTTGGTACCTGCCATGACTTTCATCTGATGAATGATGTAATGACTATAGTTCCCCTCTAAGATTCTGTTGCAGATCGTACGAGATGCGATCTAGTGGCTGCTTATCAGATCTCAGGGTTCAATGCTTCATATTGATTACCCACACAGCATTGTATATTACTAACCCGATAGAAATGCCGAACTTGTTGCTCTCATATCGATACCATTCTCCGAATCTCTAGTATTACTAGTACCATTCCTCAAACTTAATTCAGTCTCCACGATTCGCTTATTCAATTAACTTTCCAGTACCTGCTCCCCCATTATCATCCCTCCTTATTCATGCATTCATCTGATCTAGACTTTATTTTTGGTCTTTTGCTCTTCTATAACCAAAACTCTCACCCATAACTCCCTTTCCCCGGAATCAAGGACTCTCGTTCCGAAAATTAGCTTGAGAATTCCATGCAGTAAATAGGCTGCGTGTAGGCGTTATCCCACATCCTCTCATCCGTCCACCCGAAATTCAAAACGGGTTTCCATCCGCAAATCATGTCCACTCGGGTCAATAGATTGATAATATATATCGAGTGAAGTAACATAGATGAGAAAGCATCTCAGATGCTATACCTCTTGTAATTGTTGGGGTAAGGAGATATAACAGCGGGAGAACAATATGATTTCCGAATCTGTGATAGCCGAGAAAGGGACTCCAGGTTGACAAACGTCGGGGGCTGGGATATAGAGCTCGAATTTAATGCTGGTTTTCGGGCTTGAGGATTCGTATATTAGTATTCCTGTGCGTCATCAATAGTTTGCAAGAATGAAAAAACCTCCTTTTTGGACTCCGAAATGACTACATTCCTGTTGAATTTCCCGCTCCATATGCTCTTCGCGAAGGAGCTGGTGAATGGTTGTGCGAATCTTATGATTCCGTTTGATAAGGGAGTGCAGAAGAGTGTTAAGTTTTAGAGGTGGGATACTCGGTAGATGCTTATCAAATGGCTCTCCTTCATGAACTTCAAGACCGGTTGGATCACCACTTGAATTAAGATGTAACTGCTTAACAGCCAAGATAGATTCAAGAAAATGTAAAAAGAATTCACTGAAAGATGAATACTCCAACTGATGCATCACTTGCAAATCACCACCTATGAAAGATGTATACTAAAGAGAAGAGATACCGTAAAATCCATCCCCACCTCAACGCCTCCATATTCCTCTGATTCCAAGCCCCCATAAATTTCAACACCACTCCTTAAAACCCCGGTCCAAAATTTCCATCACCACTAGATAGATTCTATCATCAGCAAATCTTCCCACAAACCAAAACAAAAACCAACAAAAAGACCCCCCCAAATACTCACGTCCCCACCCCCTGCAAATCCAAGCTCCAAACCACCGTTCCCCCAATACAAAGCGCATCCGCAAATTTCCTCTTCACCCCCCAACTCTCCACATCATCAAACCCCATCCACTGTTTCCCCCCTCCAAACACAATCTGTTTCACACCCATCCCCCCCTCCTCCGCCGCGCTCGCTCCCACCCACGTACTCTTCAACCCCTCTCTCTGCACCAACACCTCAACCTCCCTCATGCTCAGAATTCCCGCTTCCGTCGTACACGGCCCGGGATCGCTGGGCCCGACGTACGCACATCCGAGATCCGCACACGCCGGATTCGCAAGCGTGTAGCCGCGTCCGTAGGCGGCAAGTCCGAGATTCACTTTCGCGGGATCGACGCCTGCGAACCAGAGGGGGGAAATGGCCGTCGTGATGTCTGGTAGAGAGGTTTGTGGTCGCACGAAAGCGCCCAGGGAGGGGTTGGAGGCTTCCCAGGGGCCGTGGAGGTCGTAGGACATGAAGTTGAAGAAGGTGATGTAGGGTTCTAGATTTATGGGATCGAAGAATTGGAGGGAGGAGATATCTGGTGGTCTATTTCGTGATTAGTTTAAGCTCGCGATTCTTTCGTCTCTTGTGCAAAGAAGTAGATAGATGGATGATTGAAGAGAAGCGAAGCGAAAACGACTCACAAAACCACACTAATCCCCCAATTTTTCCCCGGATAATTCGCAGTAAAACTCTCCCTCATCTCTCTCACCAACGCCACAAACCCATCTCGATCATTACTACTACTCGGAAACTCCCAATCTAGATCTACCCCCTGGAAATTAAACGTACTCAACCATCCCTCCACACTACTAATAAACGCCGCTCGATTCCCCTGATTCGACACCATCTGACTCCAAATCAGCGGCAAGACACTCGATCCACCACCCCCAATCGCCATATACGTCGCCAAAGTCGCAGAAGCAAGAGCAGTAAAGGGATACATGAGAGGTACAGCTGTGGTATCGAAAGGAACCACGTGGAAAGTATTGGGAGAGATAGACATGAAGGCGAAGATGAGATGCGTGATATTCTGAGTGGGGATCAGAGAGACAGGGAGCGCATTGCAGGAACGCGTCGCGCTGCCAATTTGCCAGTAGGAGACTTTGCGACCGTTGCTGGCGGTTGTGCTGCCCGAACCGCAGTTGGGGAAGTTTATTAGGCCGCAGGCGCCGAAGCCGCGTTGGCATGGCGCGTTGCCGTTGATGGGGTCGGCGTTGATGCAATAGGCGGATGTGGTCTGTGATTACATGTCATTTATCAGTATACTATATATGACTCGATGTTGAAGCAAGATCTGTGCGTATCATACGGGATTTCGAAAATACATACCCCGCAATATCCATTACCGCTACAGCAAGTATTCAGAGGACATACTTGACTTCCCTGTGGAGCATTTTTACCACATTGTGCTACATCTCTGCGAGTCGAAGAGTGATTCGACATGGAAGTTTTGGTACAATTAGCAGGATTGAGATCACACTGTCCTAACCTTTGACCAAAAGATTAGCATCATCCCATAAGCACATCAAAGCATGAGCTATCTCGCAGACTCGGCTAAATTTGGGCCAAGAAGCAGCTTTCAGGAGGCAAGACAACTCACTAAAGGAAAATTAGAACCTCTTCACTTCATGTACTATTAGCCAACCGATTCATTATGAGAAGAACTTGCCGAATCACAACACTCTCCTTCAAAACCCAACTCTCGATGCAATGGCACCGGTCCCGCACCACAAATTCCCAGATAAAGCAACCCAAACAAGGAAAATGTCCAAAAACGCATGATAGCCGAATCGAATAAATCTCACTCAGACTTCCCCAAAACACTGCAGAAAGGCAAGAAATATATATATCCCCCCGTAATTCCTGTGTATAAAGGAACAAAAACTCCGCTATATATGCATCTGATAGCTTTTGCGTTCGCAAGAATCGAGCAGGTGAGCGGGAAATCCCTCATCCGCAACCAAACCATTGAATGCAAATTGCGAAGAGTCTGGAAGGTAATGTCTCCCTGCCTAGTATGTGAATTCACTAGTCATTCAGTAGGGCGTTTTCTGGAAATGAGGGCGTACTGCAACGAACAGAGCCGAGACATTTCAACGCCTTTGCACAACTCCAAATCCCAAGAAGGTATGAAAGAACTCTAAACGCCATAGATGGAAACATGTGAAAACTGTACTACCCTTTGTAATCCGAGGTATCGATTGTGAGAACACCAATCTCCCACCTGCCAAGGGGTCTAGTCGTTTTGGTACCACGCTTTACTAACCTTGAGGGTAAGACTAGGTATTGCATAAAATTAATGTATTGACTGGAGCTAACTCTACTGGAGTAAGGATCCCTTACATGAAGAGATTTTAGACGAAACCATGTTGAACCTAGATGCATGGAATGCTTTGCCTTCATAACTAATATCCTACAACTTTCTACTCTTAACCAAACCAGTCTTAATACCGGTTTTCTCACCACCATAACCGCCTCTCTCTTCTCCACCCTTGTACACAGCTCTCATACTGCCCAGCTTCTTCTTCTTCTCGTCATACTTCATCCTCTTCTTCACTCTCGGGTTTCTGACCTCCTTCTTCCTCTTTGGCGCCAATCCCTTATTCTTCTCAATTACATATCCGATAGCTCTCTTACCATCTTCATCATTCTCCACTTCTACTACTCTTGCCAACTTTCCAGCCTTCTTCGCTTCAGAAATTGCGGCATACTTTGCCTCTTTATCATCCTTGCGTTTCTTTGATGTCTGTGCAACCATATCATAGTACTCGTCTTCATCGCCTCGAACTTCGCCAGCAACAGCTTCTTGATCGTCGTCGTCGCTCTCTCCACCCAGAGCAGTACCTCTGCCGTATTCATCCAATTTCTTTCCACGCTTCTCGGCCTCAAGGTTGAGTCGTGCCTGGCGATCTCTAAGCCTCTCTCTATAAGGTAGATCCTCGTCACCACCGGCCCCCCTCCCTGCGTCGGCTCTCTTGTTCGCTTTCTGAGCGATTTGAGATGTGTAGAACTTGAGTGACTTCTTTCTTTTAGCCTTCTCCTCCGCAGCCTTGGCATCCATGGACTCTTCTTCGCCGAAATCGGAATCATCATCTGCTTCAACAACAGCTCTCGATACCTTCTTTGACTTCTTAGCTTTAGATACGAGATCATCAAGACCTGCCAAATCTTCTTCTGCTTCCTGGATCTGTTTGCTACGTTTTGCGGCCGCCCTTTCAGCAGCAGCAGCGCGAGCCAGTTCCTTTCTGGATTTCTTCGTTGGTCTAATTGTCTCCATCTCCTCTTCTGATGTGAGTGTATCCTCCATGCCTTCCATAGATATATTCTCGCTTGCATCTTCCGAATCTTCCTCCAACTTTGTGACGTCAATTGACTTGACCCTCAACCATAACTCTCGAGTTGACTTTAAATAATCCATAATCTCATGATCTCGCAATTCTTGTGGATTCATAGTCTTTCCCTCCCCTTCAGGACGCTGCGATGGAGAAGTTAAAAGCGAAAAGTACATGGCGATAGTAGATGTGTAAGCTGCTAAAGCCCTGGCTTTTGTGACTGTAAAAGGTATCGCGTCGATTTCATACTCAGGCAACTGGTCCACTTCCTTCAGTAAATCTTGAAGAACAGGTGCTAGTTCTAGAAATTCGTCTGCCAGGAACTCGAATTCTGGATATCTTGAATATAGTATTCTTAACCTTTCTTCCGGACCCATATCTTCTGTGATCTCAATATCCTTCAAAACCTCTGTTACCACATCTCCCTCTTCATAATCATCAGCTTCCTCTTTGTTGCCCCCCTTGCCCTTTTTAAGAGCACCTCCCAGGCCTTCCTCGTCATCACTCGCAGGGAGCCATTTGATGTCGAGTTCATCGAGACCGAAAGAAGCTTTAGTCAATTTCGAAAGTCTTTTTTGTTGTAATCGTTTAGCCTCCTCTTCTTCCATCAGGGCGTCGGCTTCCGTTTCGATATTATCCGCATCATAGTAATCGCGCTTCGAAGATCCCCACCCCTCAGCATATTCGTCTTCCTCTTCCGCATCTTCCTCATCGTTTTCTTGAGCTTTCGATTTCTTCGATTTCGGCGCCTCGTATTCTTCTTCTTCAGAGCTCTCGTCGGAGTACCCTAATACCTCTTCGTCCGACAACTCGACTAATTCATCTGCAAGAACTTTTAGCTTCTATCGAATTCATAATGACAATTAATCTAACCGTCATAATTCGATTTCCTTTGACGCTTAGCATTTGGTTCATCATCCAACATAACTTTATCTCTGTTGATGTGGAATTCATCCTCGGAGTCGGCAATGTCTTCATATGTTGTGAAGGCTACTTTTCCTTTGGACTTGTCGAAATCTTGCGTGCGACTTTTGACGCTTTGCCCGGAGGCCTTCCTCTTTTTGCCAGCCATTGTTGTGAATTTGCTCAAATTATCGCGCGAATTACGTGGAATTTTCGTTTCTCTCCTCCTGTAGCTAGAGATTTCGATATCAAAAAATTATTTTCTCATTATCTTAGCGTCGCGCTAGCCCATTGATATGATCCTTGCTGCAAAACACCAGAAACACGTGATATGTCCTTAGAAGCTCATGCTCGTGCTCTTCATCGATTCGTCATGCTGGAGTAAGTTTCTCATTATAAAATACTTTTGTATTTATGATATTTGAAAATTTCCTATGATTTCCTAATAAATTATTGTAATTTCCCCAATATTGTTTCCCTCATGAACGATCCATGTGTGACGCAAAAACTCAATGCTGTCTTGTTTTTCTACATCCAAAAATATCCCTTTCCACTCCCCTTTTCCCAACACCATGCAAAATAAGACATCTAGAATCCCATTCCATCTCCCAGACCATCACCTCCAAAAGCATCTAGTAGATCACCACCATGGCCGCTTCCGCCCATCATCATTAAATCTTCGCTACCAGCACCCATATCATGCATATCAAGATTAGGTTGATCGACTGGCCCAAGACCAGAATCTCCCATTACAGCATCTCCCATAACCTCATTAAGACCGCCCATACCATTATCATCTGGTAGTAATTGTTGTTGTATGACTGACTGCGCTTCAACTCTTCTGTACAACCTAATGACTGTTTCCGCGTGAAAAGTGTCAGTCTTGTGGACTCTTGGCATATTTTCTGCTTCTGCCTTTAAAGCTTCTCTTAGAGTTAGTCGTCGTTGAAGCAGTTGTGGTGTATTACCACTCATAATATCCATTCCTGAACCTGAGTCAAAGCTTGCAGAATCTGGAGCGCAGATCAATGAAATGGCAATGTCCAGTACCACACTTCCATTACCAGCTTCGGTTTGTGTTTTAACTTCCTCGATAATAGTATTCAGTAATCGTTTTGCGCCGAGCATTTTTAATCCAGCAAGAACCTGTCGATGAGTATAGGATGCAGGCATAATTTGCATACCAGGGTTGCGGTCACATTGAAGACCCCATTGAACGAGGGTAACAATTGTGTGTTTTATGCTGGCAGCCAATCCACCCCCAGGTGTGGCTGTCCATACTTCTAACTCACTGTACTTACTAGCACCTCTTCGTTCCCAGCCTACGTTCGACTCTAGTGCTTTCGAAATCGAATCGATGTCGTGACGGTGAGGCTCCGCGCGCTGGAGCCATCGGAGACTTTGTTCAAGATTTTGGGCTATGATCTTGAGGATTGCATTGAGTAGGTGGGATGCTTCCATGTTGTTTGATATGGATGGAGGACTTTTGATTAAAGCTGACAGGATCTGAAGAACATAGGTCGCCTGAGGGCGTGCTTCCCACAGATGAGCCGAGAGCCATGTGATGCCCGGAATGAGAGAAGGAAGCAAAAATGGTTCAACCATGAATTCCAGACCACCTTTCAAGCCTTCTTCCGAGAGAGTCTCTGTGCTAAGTGCTAGCACAATATGGTGAAAGAGAGTGGGCACCAAGAGGTAGAACTCTTGTGGCGGGCAAGATGACATCAGCTCATCACCAAGTCCGCCACCTTCTGGCTCAAACAACCCCCTGATCCATCCATCCAAATGATTTTGATCTTGCTGAGATAATGGATCCAATGCTCGACTGAGATGGCCTTGAACGAGTAGCTTTGCTACAAATGATTCTGCTGGGTTTTTGATGCCCAAGTCAACTGTTGAAAGGTTGTAGCGATGCGCGAATGATACTACCAGGAGCAATATTGATCCAAACTCTTCATAAACAGGTTGATATTCTCCCTGGTCTTCATCATATCGCCAATTATCAAGAAGCTCACAGATTGGTTGCAAAAATGATGTAGGCTTATTAAAGAGAAGCATTATATCCAAAGAAGATGGATTACGAGCCAATTGACTGCATAAGGTCTTCAAGGTCATTGTCTCCTTATTGCCACACATATGTTTTATAACCTATCATAATTAGTCATGGTTATGAGGAGCTAGCCGAGATACATACCTCTGCAATTGCCTGACTAACAGCGCCAGCATTCCCATCCATATTTTCTAACTCTGAAATCAATCCTTCGGCTCGCTCCGAGTCAGAAAGACATTGTTGAACAAGATCCTGCTTAGAATACCTTCCACCGGCAGGTAAACTTTGCATAGGTATATCGCCTAGTAGGGTTTCAATACTGGATTCCGGAATTAAGCCATGTAAACAGCAAGCGAAGCAGAAGTCCTGTCTAACGGAATCTGAGAACATGTCATTATTAGTCGACTCTGCAAACAGAGTAGAAAGTGTGGGAAATGCATTAGTATCGACATGACTCAAAGCTTCCGTGATGCAAAATTCTGATGTTAGTGGTGGAAAAAAGGATGTTGCGAGCGTTGAGACGAGTAAGGGAACTTTGTTGATCAAAAATGATCGTAGTATAGTTGTGGTTTGTGGCCCTTCATTTCGAAAAGTTGCATTGGCCAAGACATCAAACGATGCAAGTATAAGATCTACTGTCGTCGATTGGACATCTCCCTTGCAATGATCAGTAAAGATTTTGCAGGATGATTAACCGGAATTACCTGATATCTGTTGTGCAAATATGCAAAAATTGCACTGTCATCGACAAGGGGCCTACCAACAAGCTAGAATTGGTCAGTTTACATCGGAGATACTCATTATGAACATCGTGGTACTTGCAATAGAATTCAAATAAATATATAGACCCGCTCGCGAGTTGATAGTTGGTAGATCAGCGACCACGATATTGTCAATGTTCATCCCAATTGTGGAATCCAAAATTTCGTCAATCTCAGCATTGGCGGCTCGCTCCTTTTTGTCAACGGGTAGAATCGTCATCAGAGTCTGTGTTCGGAATACGTCTAATCGTTGTACATTCTGCGGGGAGCTCTGAATTAACAAAGGAACAAACCTAGCCATAGCCTTTCCGAGGTCAATGCCGGTCCCTGTTGGTTAAAGTAAGCATCTGGGCGGCACTATTCAGACACCAGAATGAAGCAGGAATACCTTTTGGGCAGCGACCCTTTTGTATAGCCCCTAATACCTTTGCATTCCCAATAACAGCGACCATTAAAGTTCCCAAAGCCATACCCACCATCCCAATCTCCTCCACATGAGCTTCGATGTCCAATATCTCGTGCGCCCCTCTACCCATACTGGTAGCGACCATATCCATCCATTGAATGCATATCATCAGTAGGTCGACTGCTTCTTGGACATTCTTAGGCCTTGTGCCAGTGGAGACTGTTTTCGCAAGTCGGTACAACATCATCTCTTCGGCAGAATATGACATTTTCCACCTTCTATTTCCTCCCTTCACTCTTTTGGTCTTGTTTGCACCATTATTGGCTTCGCTATGCATGTGCTCATCTTGCACATAATTCCAGAGTGAAGAATATCTCAACAAAACTCGAAGGATCCCGGCGCAATCAATAAAACCCTCTGCTAGCAATATTTGTACATAACGCAATACTCGTGGATCGACATGTATATCGTTGTATTTGTCGGGACGTAAGAATATCTCGCATATATATTGAGATGGCAGTGGGTTCCTCGAATATAATATACGAATGTAATCGGTGAAAGGTTCGAAGTCAAGCCTCGAGGCAAGGCTGTTGTTCAGTAACGTTTGCCAGTTTGCGATGGCAGCTTGTGCGGTCATTTTTGAATCGTAGAATGAAATTTAGATCAGTAACTGCCCAAATTGAAAAGCCTCACTATCAGATTGAGGTATTATGAGAAAGATTAGTATTAAGAATACAAAATGTGAAATAATGATAAAGTAAGGAAAGGATTTGTGAGTGTGTGAGAGAGAGAGAGTGTGTGTGTGTGTGTCAGTGAATCTAGAATTAAAGTTCAGTTCAGATGTGAATCGACCTAGCCTCGCTAGCGCCCACCGATAATGCACGTAGTTGTGGGGACCAATCAATGAAGGATTGCTCTCTCAGCCTTGTCTTAGCGTCCACAGCCCTGACACGGCTGAACCATCGAGCCATTCCCCCCATGACCTATAAATTACTTTTCCGCCCGGAATTACCATCCATGCCTGCAGGTGGGTAGACGCAATGGGGTTTTGAGAATACGATATGCAGCACGTCAAAACTCCAACATTAGCAAATGGGCCTTCAGACATATGGATGATATTTTATTGTACAAAATACGAGAGAAGAACCCGCAACTAAACCTGATACCAAAATGTCACAAACCTCATGTTACGACCTAATTCCTGGATATCTATAACTCCTATTGCCAGCGTGATCTCATGTAAATTTACCACCTGATGCTCCGACAAAAACAGGCCCAAAGACCCTGACCGAAAATCCTCTCTGTGCTGTAACTCTCAATTATCCAAATCACTCTCCTTCTTGATTCGTGGTGAATTATAATATGCCGTGTGTGAACGTGAAGGTGAAGGAGGCCTTAAACTTTGTGGTGTTCTGGGACCGATCACCCAGTCCTGCATGGCCATCCAACCACTCCAAGCTTCGTCCGCAGAGGAAAGCTCTGCCTCTGTTATTCTCGGCAAAGGAATCATGTACGGCGTTGATTGCTCTGCGGCCAGCGAATCATCGTAGTATTTCTTTACATCAAGCCATTCCTTACTTTTTGATGCGAAAAGGTAATTGCGTCGCTCCAGTTCATGTATGGTCCCGATTCCCTGAACCCAATTTGCACCGAACCAAGTTCCCATGATGCGAGGATCATCGTGACCAGTGACTATCAATCTTCTGATGTACGGGATCAAGGACACCGATTGCGGATACCCTGGGGGAGGGCGGGGTTCTTCCTCTTGTTGACGATCGGAAAGATTCTTTAGAGACCATGCGGCCGAAGCTCGATGGACTGGGTAGGGCTGCTTTTGATACGGCAGCTGAATGTTTATAAATGCTGCCACGGCCTGAACCAAAAAATCATGTTGAGCTTGGTCGAGAAAGTAGTGATGGCACTCTAGGTAATGACGGTACCAATTCACAGTA